AGAGTAATAAAGTTCTTATAGAGGAGTATAAATGTTTTATTCCCAAAACAGAACTCAATTACTCATATTTTGGGAAGTTTTAATCAAATTACTCTTTTAAAATGATTAAATAAGTCCTATTTGGGAATATAACATATTTAGTCCAATTTGTGCATTTAAGTTTAGTTTTAGTCCTATTTTATTGCTATTTTATTTTCTAATGCAACAATATGTATAATAAAAATGATATCTGGCCGTGATTGCAGACTGTGCCCTTGTTCTTGACGGAGGTAGCCCCAGTCCAACACAGAGGGGCGGTGAACATCCTATTCCAGCTCTTCGTCACGGTGGGGATCTTGATCGCCAACCTCGTGAACTACGCCACCGCGACGATCCACCCGAACGGGTGGAGGATCTCGCTCGGGGCAGCCGCGTTCCCGGCGGTGGTGCTGTTCATCGGGTCCCTCGTGATCAGCGAGACCCCGGCGAGCCTGATCGAGCGGGAGAGGCTGGAGGACGCGAAAGCGGCGCTGAAGAGGATAAGGGGAGTGGAGAACGTGGAGGCGGAGTTCGAGACGATCGTGGCGGGGTGCGAGCAGGCCCGGCAGGTGAAGAGGCCGTTCAGGAAGCTGATGAAGAGGGGGAGCATGCCGCCGCTGATCATCGCCGTGATGATGCAGGTTTTCCAGCAGATGACGGGGATAAACGCCATCATGTTCTACGCGCCGGTGCTGTTCCAGACAATGGGCTTCAAGACCAACGGCTCCCTCCTCTCCTCCGTCATCACCGGCTTGGTCAACGTCTTCAGCACCTTCGTCTCCATTTACTTCGTCGATCGGATCGGCCGGAGAAAGCTCCTCCTCGAGGCTTGCTGCCAGATGCTCATTTCTCAGGTAACAACCGTTGAATTTTCAACTACATTCCGTTATTTTATTCCCTTGTTTAGTTCAAAGTTCAAACAACTACTCCGTTGACCATTAATATTATTACAAGGAGTGGTTGAGCATTAAGGGTGTTTGGATCTGATTTTCAAAACTGATCCTGCTCCTTCAGAGAGCTAAAACAGAAGTTAGAGTGCTTGGGTGAAATTCCAGAAACACTTCTCGTGCTCTAATTTACTCATAGAATCAGTTTTTTTAGAAGCTGGGGGGTACCAGCTTCTGAAAACTGATTCTGATTCTGCTTCTGCTTTAAAAAAGAAGCAGAATCAGTTCTAAACACCCCTTAATATTATTACAAGGAGAGTGGTGGACAAAGATATTACTTTGTACTTAGTAGTGATTGTAGTTGTGTTTAAAGTTTACATCGTTGCAACTACAATGTAGTAAATTTTGAACACAATTATAATCACTAATAGTTACTAAGTCATATTTTTATCTGACTTTTTATTAGTACTACTACTACCTCTAGCTGTCCCATATTGGTTGTCATGTTTTAATTTGACACAATTATTAATAAAGTGATTGAAAAGTAAAAGTTGTGGTTGAGATTTGAGTATTTTATTAGTACTACCTCTAGCTGTCCCATATTGGTTGTCATGTTTTAATTTGACACAATTATTAATAAAGTGATTGAAGAGTAAAAGTTGTGGTTGAAATTTGAGTATAATAAGTGGAGTGATAAGGAAGTAAAGAACACATATTTCTTGCTAAAAGGGAAACACGGCATTCATTTTGAGACAACTAAAAAGAAAGTAAGACAACCAAAGTGGGACAAGAGTAATATTTGGGGGAAAACATCTAACCTTAATCTATTCAAATAGTTTAAGAAAGAAATAATGATGAATATGTAACTAATAAAGTTCGTCAATAAAAATGTATCGAGTAACCTTTTATACTTTAGTTATAAGTATAACAATAACTTTAGTATTCATTTTTATATTCGGAATTACGATGAAGTAGCCATGATAATGTACTTGTACGTGTCATATTTTTGACAAATAACAAAATCTAAGAAGAAAAGAGTATGCTAAAAGTTTAAAAGTTAGGTAGTACGTACTACGTATAGTATTGCAACTACTAGTATTAAGAAATGAAGAAGTGTATGTATAGTAGTGTTATGATAATCAGTTTAAAAACATCCAAAATTGATTTATTTAGTTTCTTTGACATATTTAATTTTCTCTATTAAATATTTCCTACTATCCTTTTATTTAATATCCACCTTTTTACGTAGTACGAAGTATCTGACTTAATTATAATATCTCGAAAATATTACGGCTTCCCAGTAGGGAATTGTCAGCTCTTTAATTATGGTGACTATCAATAACAATGATCACTGAGCATATCAAATACACAGCCACTCCGTGCACCACTAAAATGATCACTAAACATAAAAATAGCCATACGCGTTAAAAAAAGTTACATTTTTATTTATAAGTTTTAGGTACTTTAGTAGGAGTAATATATTTGACCTCATTATTTAGGTTTTAAGCTACGATGAAATGCATACTCCTCTCTTATTGACTTGTTTCCTTCATTTATCTAAGGTGGCGATCGGAGCGATTCTCGCAACACACTTGTCAGAGACCGGAACCCTAAATAAGGGATTAGCGATAGTGGTGGTGATTCTGGTGTGCACATATGTGATGTCATTTGCATGGTCATGGGGACCTCTAGGGTGGCTAATCCCGAGCGAGACGTTCCCGTTGGAGACGAGAACGGCGGGGTTCGCCTTTGCGGTGAGCGCCAACATGATGTTCACCTTCATCATTGCACAAGCCTTCTTGACAATGTTGTGTGCCATGCAAGCCTACATATTCTTCTTCTTCTCAGCGTGGATATTGGTGATGGGTGTGTTTGTATGGTATTTGTTGCCGGAGACCAAAGGTGTGCCCATTGATTTGATGGTGGATAGGGTGTGGAAACAACATTGGGTATGGAGGAAGTTTTATAGGAACGATGTTAGGAATTATGAAATGGCTGCCTAATTATTTTTAATTCATTAGTTAGAAGCCAGTTTTTTATTATTTTGTTACTAGTTTATAGTTTTACACTACGTACTTATAATAATAAGAAGATTATTTGGAGGCAGAATGAGCCAACCTACACCATATTTTCGTCAAGTCAATAGAATTTTTCGAACCTTCCTTGACTAAATCTTTGAGTGCCCTCATTTAATTGCATGTCATTTTGTTCAATTAATTTGTCTCTCATTTGTCGAATGATTTGAGTTATGACCTTCAAGTTTCTATGCTATCTTTAAATTATTGCACTAAATAGAAATAAAAACTGAAATTCTAACATAAGAAGAAGCTTATATGTTGGCAAAAAAAACATAAGAAGCTTATATATGACACTAATGACACTAACAATGTGCCCTCATGAGTAATTATTACTATCCAGTTTGGAAATCACTCTCAATAATGACACTATTAGAACCGTTTTGTTAATTTCTAGTAATTTAATGCTAAACAGAAACACTACATACGAGGGTGTTTGTTAATTTAATGGCCGATCAATTGGACTATTATTAGCCTTTTAACCAGATAAAACAACTAACTAACTAGTGACGTGTTTGGTAAAATAATTTTTTTCATTTAGTTTTACGTCTTAAACAGCCAAAAAGATGCTAAAGACATTATCGTTGAGGGACTAGCCGCTCATATATTTACTGTTTTTCCTTGTCTACCCACTGCCCACATAAATCACCGCCTTTCTATTTGCACCATTATTTCGTATACGGAGTATTCTTTTAATTCTTCTCCATCGAACTTTCTATTTGATACTCCCGTCTTTTTTATTATTTGGCTATGGTCCTATGGATATATTTCGTATACAGTAGAGAGCAAAAATAATGCAGGGATGGTGTGTTTGGAAACTTTGGTTTACTTTTTCAAACAATTCTATGATTTTCTTTCATTTTAGATTTGAAGGACACAGGAAGCCTCGATATGGTGCAGCGCAGCTGTCATTATAAATTGTTATAGAGAATGATTAATCGCAGTTTTTTAATTAATAAAAATGGTTTTTGTCAAAAAAGATTAATAAAAATTGTTAAACTAGTTTTACTCTTAAACTTGATTTTAAAATGTATGATATGTATATACATTTTGTTAGTAAACAAAAAAATAGTCGATGCCATCAAAAGTTATTTAACAAGTTATCAGTCAATTGTAAATAGTCATTTAACCAAACATCATTTTACAGACAGCTAATACTATTGGCTAATCAAAACAATCAATAGAATCTGCTATCATCAATCAGCTAATACGATCCGCCAATAGCCAACCACGAACCGCCAACAACCAATTGCCAAACACCCCTATGATTTTGGGATGGGAATAGTTCATTTATATTCAGAAGGAAAATACAGCACTTATATTTTCAAAATTTCACATTATTCTATCCATATTTTGGTTAATTTGTTGATCTTTTTTACGCCTTTTAGACTTGGGATGCTTTACTTGCAGGCTTAGGGAATGTTTGTGATTGCTTCTACTTCTAAAAAATGATTTTAGAGTGATTTTGGATAAAGTGCTTAATAGTAAAATTGGTAGTGTTTGAGAAAAAAGGTGCTTCTGAAAAGGTAAAGTTGGCAGTGTTTGATAAATTAAGTGATTTTTGTGTAATAGAAAAAGTCGAAAGCAATTTAAAGCACCACTCAACATGCTTCTAGCTTTTAGCTTTTAAGTGCTTAATTTAAGCAGTAATTGTTATTTGAAAACACCAATTTCAACTTTTTTAAGCCCAAAGGTGAAAAACACCTTTTTAAATTCTCTGCAAACACTCCATTAGACTAGTTTGAGCTTGAGAAAAAGCATACTTAACCCGATTTAAGAAGACCAAATTAGATTAGGCTGGACTAAAATTTGATTATAGTTAAACACGTACACACAGTACGCGTTGGGCTTCATTAGACCAAATTAAATCAAATTAGATCAGACTGAAGTATACTCCTTATTAAACTAGATTCAAACAAATTTGATTTGTCGAGACAAAAAAGTTCTAGTATAAGCGAGAGATAATTCCTTACATAGCAAAACATATAGAAAGTGCAACAATAGATAGGTTGTAGAACTCTTTTTCTTTTAAAGGAAATGAAATTTTATTAAAGAACATTTAAAAGGAATTACAAGAAACAAAGATAAAAGAAGAAACAAGGGGAAGGGGAAGAGGAAAAAAACAAACAAACAAGAACTACAAGTGAGGAAACCAACCCTAATGCATCAAAAAGATGAGATTGAGATCTCATGATATGTGATCGATGATGTTTTTTCTTATATATATTTTGATTTGGGTATTCAAGTTCTGCGAAGGCAAGCAATTATCCCTCATTACTTTGTCAAAGATGTCTTGATTCTATTAAGCTATGGTGAAAATGAAACTCACAGTTCACTTTGGGTTGACTTTATTAAAGCACGATATCCTAGGGGTCTTGATTTAACTCCAAAGGTGACAGATTCTCCAATTTGGAGAAGGATGTGTCTGATTAATGAATGTGCCAGTAATCTATGTCAAATTAACCTCGATAATAGTGTGAGATGGTTACTTGAAGATGATGGGAATTTCTCACTTAAATCAGCTTATAATATGGTTAGGGAGGATCTCTCTTCCACGTTTTCATTCAAGCACGCTTGGCATCCTAGGCATCCCCTGCAAATCAAACTCTTTCAGTGGAAAATTCTTAGAGGAATTTTGCCAGTTACTGATAGTTTAATTTGACAAGATTCAGATGGTTTGTCAACCCATCCATCTGCCCTCTATGTAACCATAGTGAAGATTCAGCTGATCATTTGTTTTTCTATGCAGTATTGCTTACTCCATTTGGAGTTATTTCATGATCATTTTTGGAATTCCAATCCCCAATCGATCCACATCTATCAAGGGCATTCTGATGGTTCAGTGGCTTAGGGCTGGGAGAAAAAACCTAGTTCATATTTTTAAGCATAACCTGTCGGGCATTATCTGTTGGCATTTGTGGAAGGTATATTCTAGCATTATTTGGGGTTCGGACAACAGGGTGCCCTCTCATGAGTTTATAATCTTCCAAATTAAATTATATACTCAAAATTGGGCCATCAGTTTGTCCAATTTAAAGATTCGAGTTTTTGGTGATGTGCTATACGAAGAAAAGTTGATTCACAGCAACTTCAAGTTTAAGGGTGGACTATTCAAAGCAATCAAATGGAAGAGATCAAAGGAAGGATTCAAGCTCAATACGGATGCTAAGTTCTTTCCTGGGATTGCTGCAGGTGGCGCGATTCTCAGAAACTCGGACGACGAGATGAGCTTTGCAATTTCATTCCCTCCTTTTGTCTCGTCGCCTCTCGAAGCTGAGCTTGCTTCGTCCCTCTATGCGACAAACTGGACTATAGCACCTGGCTTCTCGGATTTCCTTGTTGAAATGGATGTTGCGGTAGCCTTGAGATACATCTCTGATGGCGGTGCGGGTAGATGGAAGGAGTATCAAGAAATGTTACTCAGAGCTTTCAACATGGACTGAGAGAATGTAATTAAGTCTCTCATTTGACCGTAATTACATTTAATTATGTTTTAGTAAAACATAACTAAAAATCAGATTATGAAACTTAATAATGAGATGAATTCAACCATATTTTTTCAAAAATAAAAATTCACATTAATCAATAAATAAAATGTAGTCAAAGTAGAGGATATGAATAATGTATAAATTGCAATGTTGCAACTAACTAATGCGATACAGAGGATAGTAATTTCCATCATTTGCAATGGACCCAAATAAAGACTCACTATTTTTTACTTGAAAATATGATGGAATAAAGCAAAGTGGTTCACTAAACTGTCTATACTTCTTTTGTTATGAAGCTGCAGTCAGTCCATGCAATTTTGGACTCGATTTTCACTATGGGTCATCCGAAAACATTCTCTTTGTGCGTAGTACAGGGGTAAGACTGCGTACATTGGACCACCTCTTGCCCCACCGTAGGTGGGAGCTTTTGCAGCACTGGGTAATAATGATAAATGCATGAGTTCTTTTAAATAATACTACGTGTGATGAAAAGGATTCACTTCGTATAGTTGTATCTTAAGAACATAAAATAGTGACAAATATAATAAACTTCAACCGTGATAGCTTTGTCAAATATAAACTTCAACAATGATAGAATTGGTACTCGATCTTGAGAGACTAGTGACATAAAATGAGCTCTGTAAACCTGGTCAACCTTTAAAACAACGCATGAAAAGGTTTCAACTGGATCGTCTTTAATTTAGGCAGCAGTTTTATGACTTTCCCTAATTGTTTGATGCTCACTGCCCACACAAAGGAAAAGGAAAACGAATTACTAAATTCATAAATCCAAAAGTAGGTGACAATTGGAAGAATCATATATATTCCGTATATAATAATGAGTTTATATGATTAGTCAAGTAACGAATATGACAAAAGATAGAGAGGCATTAACATGCTATGGTTCTTTCCGATGTATCTAAAAAAAATTAACATGCTATGGTCCTTGAAAAAAGCATTTATTGAGGCAACAAATACTATCGTTAATAGGTGAAATATATGTACAGATATAACAAAGATATAGATTCTAGACAAAAGATCACGACAATGTCTGAGTTCTAGAACTTGATGCTTTCTTGTCGAGAGTCCAAATATGAAAAATTGTTCCAGTCCAATTCCGCTCCAATTCCTAAAAATTGGGACCTCTTCTAGTTCAGGCTAAGAAAGTAATCACAACCGGTAGGTTCGGAAGTCAGCCTGAAATAGACATTATTCAACCCTACACGTCATAATATAATTTCAAGTACAAAAATTCTTTAGGACCATTCTTGATATACACAAGATGTACATAAAATGTGTACATTGCCTCCATACACAAGCAATTTGACATCAAGTTCCGTCCTCTTTTAAATGAATTCCCTGCGTACAAAGACAACTAAATGGATTTTGTGTTCAATTTGTGTACAATTCATATACACTCGGAATTTTCCAATTCTTAAGGAGCAAAGATAGTAGGAATAGATGTTGAGTCCAAGAAAGTACGGAGTAATCAGAACCAGTAGGTCTGGTAGTATAATTTTCATTGGAAGAATGGAAAGGGATCGGTACGGATTTGTAGCATAAAAATGTCATTTCTGATGTTCACCTACATTTGAGTCATGTGACTGTATTATGTAGTAGTTTCATGGTATTCCCTCCGTTCCAAAATATGGTCCCGGTTTGACTTTCACACATATTAAGAAAATGAATTTGACTGCACATTGTTTGGCACTATAGCGACACTGTTTGGTACTGTTTTGGCGTTTTGCACTGTTTGACAATGTTTAGTATAGATTTGTTTACCAAATAAGGAAGTTAAAGAAATGAGACAATTTTTTCGGAACGGACCGAGAGGAAAGTGGGACAATTATTTCGGGACGGGGGGAGTATTATTTTCTGCTCTAAGGTGATAACTTTATACAATTATACGGAGTATGTTTTAAGGTGATAACTTTATACTCGGTCCTCCTCTTAAAACTCTGTCAAGTTTGACTAACACGGATGATAATAAAGTAAAAACTGTGTAGTTAAGGTTTCTGCAGAGGAGAGAGAAGTAGCAGGAACCACAAAATAATTTATTAAAAGGAAAAGTAACTAAGTTTACTGAAACGTCCCAAAAAAAGGATGAAAAAATTTTAAGGGATGGAGGGAGTATGTTTTAACACTCTACTTCATCTCTAATAAGCACGCAATTGCAAATTTGCACTTCTCTCCTTTGATGGGAAATGATAGGTGAGTGCTGACTTTATACCCTCTTAGATCATCACTTTACAATGAACTATTCACTAATAAATTTGCTTCACATGAAAGATGAAAACTAAGGACATGAACAAAATTGATTTGACCAAAATTGGCATTTTCAGTCTCTTAAAATATGCTAAAATTGGATGTTTGGCGGTTGACGGGTTAGTACAGCATTTTGGTCCAAAATGCCAAAAACGGAGCTACAAAGTGGAGCGTTTACGATTAGCGGGTCTAAATAAATAATTAATCGTCAAGTTTAGCCTTTCATGTCCTCTTTTTCATATTCGAAGATCCAGGTACGTATTCTCTCCATGCTTCTCTTCTTTCTTGGTTTTTGGTTTTACTGCATGTCATTATTTTTCTTCCTCTAATATCCGTGATTTCCTGAGTGTATGTATGTATTATTAGGTGGTCTACTATACAATTAAATTATTTTTTATCTTCTCTATGATTTTACTGACTATACCTTCTACCTGCACATTTTTTGAGAGCTTTGTTATGTTACGTGACCTTTCTTTAAATGTCCTTCGTGTCCTTATAAGAGGATTAAAGTGGCCACTTGTTTCAGTAGTATGGCCAAGTGTTTATCACAATGCACATATCTTACAGCTTTTTTAATATCCTACTTGTTTTCGTGCCATACACACACATATAGGGTGTGGTTCCGGTGAAAAGACATGCTTAGGTGAGAAATGAGAAGCAATCTGGAGTGTTAAAAATATCAATCGTGTGGTACAAAACTAATACACTACATGTACCATAAAATAGGAAAGTAATAATTATTGATGCACCGTAATTGAACATTAGTGAAGGGTAAGGGCTAATTAGTAATTGGTGCAACACATTAGTAATAGCGCACGTTTAAACTCATTGCATGACTTTGAAATTCCTTTCTTGCATTAAATGTATTGAAGCTTAATCAGGAAAGAGAAAGCTTTCAAAATATTTTTAAAAAGGCTTAGTGGAAAGCAATAGAGGTGTACTTCTGTGCATTAACACATAACTTCAAATATGTGCACTAATTTCATCTCAAAGTGCACTACTAGAAGCACCAAAGTAAAATAACAATTCACATTCATCTTTGTTTATCTTAATGCATAAAACAAGTCTTATTATGCAATTGAACGTCAATTTTTATTTTGCAGTATTACACCCCTTGTTCAAAATCATATTTTACAATTTACAATAACATCATCACTTGTGCTAAAATGTCGTGTCATTTTGCAACTTGGATTGTCGAGTTACAAAATGCAATATTCTAGTTTTACTTTCGTGCACTACATTAGTCGCAATATGCAATATCTGTTTGTTTGAAATTTTAATGCAAAATAAAATATTATTTACAAAGTGCATTGTCTGGTTACATTTAATTGCGCTAATACTGGAGCTTCGGGCACTATATCAGGCATTATATGCAGTATCCTTGCACTACATATGTGATTTTATGCAATTTCGGTTTCACTGCAAAATATATACTACGTATGAACCAGACTCCATTAAAGAGGGGAAATTTTGAATAGTTGAAGAAGTGGAGAAGACCGAAGCGATGTTAATAAGAATAATAGACCTAATAATGAAATAAGCTTCTTCAACATAAGGAAAGAAAATGCCTTACCTTTCTTATTGGAATCCCATTAATGCTCACATGAAAATCTCTAACATGCCCTTATCAAAAACGTGACATTGATAAAGGTCTAAAGGTGTAGATTGTTTCTCATTTCTTACATTAGATGAATTTCTCACTTGAACCAAAATCATTTAAAATGTATCAATGTCCTTTTTTGTCTTTTTTGTCTATCAATCACTAAAAACAAAGTTAACAAACCGCTAAATTATCAAACATTTTTTGGTAACTTGTCAAACTAATCCTCCGGTCAAATTCGCTAACTCAATTCGCTTATCGCTATCTGCTATCCACTGATTGCCAAAAAAGCTCTATGTTTTTAGTGTAAACAATTTTGTGTAAATTTTCAAAAATATTCTTTGTACTGGTCCAGTCCGGCTCAGTGCCCGAGCTTCACCCCTGATTGCCTGGTTTTGATGAATGTTGGAGAAATTCGTCGTCGGAACCTGCAAAACAATGTTAGAAAAAATAAAACAGCCCGAGACGCGTTAGACGATGTCCTAAAGAAAGTATTTCCGGTGACCGGAAACCTTCCCCCAAGATATAACGGGCCCTTCGGCAAGTTTTGCCGGACACAGAATCTACGAGGATATATTAAATTAGATGTAATCCAGAAGTGGTTTTAGAGTATTAGAATGTATTAATAAGGTTGGTAAAGTACATGTCGTATCTCACAGCTTCGAAAGAAAATACATATATATAGTAAAATACTTCAAAAGTGGGGAAGTTAGTGATCCTAATATCAAGGAGACAAATAAGGACAGCCATGTAAATGTCAAGCACGTAATTTAAGCTCTTTAGATAATACGGAGTACTTGTTCAACGGATGCAAAAATTCCAGACGGTTAATAGAAAAGTTCAATGACAAATAAATTATTTAATTAAGAAATAAAATAAAATGTGAAAAGAAAAACAAAGGTTTTGGTTTATTTGAAATACACTTAAAATTTCCAACAATCCCCCACATATTTCAAATAAACATTTGAGGTTAAAACTACTTTTGAAAATCTGCTGGATTAACGGGAATGAGACTTTAAGTCTGGTGTCCGAAGACTATGAACCAAACCGAGACGATTAAGTCTTTACAAACCGAGCTTCT